TATGCCATTTGGGTACCAATGCGCCAGCTACATTCCAAGCCCTTATGAATGACATATTTCGACCCCATTTGCGCAAATTTATACTCGTTTTTTTTTATGATATACTTGTATATAGCGCTACATGGAACGAACACCTAGTACATCTACAAATCACCTTGGAACTGCTAAGGACTCAAACTCCTTGCAAAGGAGTCAAAATGCGCATTTGAACAGACACAAGTACACTATTTAGGGCACGTGGTCGAAAATGGCATTGTAGCAGTAGACCCGGAAAAGATCTCAAGCATGATAAATTGGCCCCGACCTCAAAATGTTAAGGAGTTACGAGGCTTCTTGGGTTTAACAGGGTACTACCGGCGATTCATTAGAGGGTATGGACTGATTGCTGCCCCCTTGACAAGTTTACTTAAGAAGAATGGGTTCTACTGGACTAGGGAGGCCCAACAGGCCTTCGAGACACTCAAAACAACTGTCTCATCCCCACCGACGCTCGCACTTCCAGACTTCTCAAAGGACTTCATCATTGAATGTGATGCGTCAAGCCAAGGAATTGGTGCAGTCCTCATGCAAGAAGAAAGGCCACTAGCATTTTTCAGCAAAGCAATGACAACACAGAAATGGGCCAAATCAGTATACGAACGCGAACTGATAGCAATTGTTCTCGCAGTTCAGAGGTGGCGGCCCTACCTTCTAGGAAGGAGGTTCATCATACGAACTGACCACCAGAGCCTGAAATTTCTGTTGGAGCAGTCTGTACTATCCCCGGAACAGCAGCGATGGATAGCCAAATTACTTGGCTACGATTATGTCATTAAATACAAGGCAGGACACACTAACAAGGTGGCGGATGCACTGTCACGCCAGCCACAACTATTTCCATTACTTCTCACGGGCCCAACATGTTCCATCATGGGTCAGCTAAGGGAAGAAGCTGAAAGGCACCCACAACTGAGCAAGCTGCGTTCACAGGTCCAAGAGGACCCTACTAGCCACCCAGGGTACACAGTGGAGAATAACTTGCTGCTGTATAAACGCCGAATGGTGATACCACAGGATTCAGCCCATATTCAGTAGCTTCTGGAAGTGTTCCACTCATCCCCAGCAGGAGGACACTCAGGGATCCTGCGCACTTACAAGACACTAGCCACCCAATTCCACTGGAAAGGCATGCAAAATTCGGTCCAAAAATTCATAGCCGAATGCATCATTTGCCAGAAAAATAAGGCGGATACCCAGTCTCCAGCAGGACTACTACAACCACTCCCAATTCCTACACAAGTGTGGGCAGATATATCCATGGACTTTATAACGGGGCTCCCCCTTTCCTATGGCAAGTCCGTTATTCTCGTAGTGGTTGATAGATTCACCAAATACTGCCATTTTCTCCCTCTGTCCCACCCCTTTACAGCCTCCATGGTGGCTGAGATTTTTACTAAGGAGGTGGCACGACTGCATGGTACCCCAAACTCTATTGTCTCAGACCGCGACCCTATTTTTGAGTCGTTTCTGGGCAGAACTTTTTCGACTACAAGGAGTGAAACTCTTCAAATCTACCAGCTACCACCCTCAAACAAATGGGTAGACTGAGGTGGTCAACCGGAGTTTGGAAACCTATCTAAGGTGCTATGCAGGGGATAGGCCACGTCARTGGCTYAARTGGCTTCATTGGGCAGAATGGTGGTACAATACCACGTATCATAGTGCAGCAGGAATGACTCCCTTCCGGGCTCTATATGGACGAGAGACCCACCTCCCCTACTCCCATATGAGAAAGGGTCTACAGCAATAGCAGCAGTAGAAGACCAACTCCTCCAGCGAGAAAGGGTGTTACAAGATCTCAAATCCCACCTCCATCGAGCCCAACAATGGATGGCAGACTCCTACAATAGAAGGCATAGGCCTGTCCAGCACCAGATTGGAGAGCAAGTCTTCCTTAAATTACAACCATACAAGCAAGTTTCAGTAGCAGGCCACCGGTGGAACAAACTGAGCCCTAGGTACTTCGGCCCATTTCGGATTGTGGAATGCATTGGGTTGGTGGCATACAGGCTTGACCTCCCAGCAACATCGAAATTACACCCTGTATTCCATGTATCCCTATTGAAGAAATGGCCAAAAACAGGAGCAATAACAAAAACCACCCTCCCATCATTCTCGRAAGATGGCCAAGTTCAAACTGAGCCCACTCAGATAACAGATTTCAGGTGGATACGCAAAGGGAATCACATCGAACCAGAGGCATTGGTGGTATGGTCAGGTCTCCCAATTGAGGATGCAACTTGGGAACCTTACTTGGATTTACATAATAGATTCCCACATCTTGACCTTGAGGGCAAGGTCGCTTTCAAGGGAGGAGGGACTGTTGAGACACAAATAAAGGGAATACAAGTGTACAAGAAAAGGCCACACCAGCCTTTAAAGAATGTAACTAACAGCCAACCACTAGAACAAACTAAATAACAAACTAGACAAGTGGACTGGACAAGTGGAGAGGTTGGTACAACAGAATTAACAGCCAACCACTAGAACAAACTAAATAACAAACTAGACAAGTGGACTGGACAAGTGGAGAAGCTGGTATAACAAAATTGTAACAGCAGTATATAAAGAAGGAAAGGAAGTTAGGAGCTCTCTCTCATTTTATAGTGTTTTTAGCACTTGACATTAACAGTGCCTTTCAACAGAAGCATATTTAGACCTCAATACAGGCTCTTGTTATCCCAATTCATTTTCTGGTGGTTGAGGTTCATTTTATTTATTTAGTCAATTGTGACAGTTTTTTTTTTATTTGAAATGTACAACTAGTACACTGAGAGCAAGTACTTTTTAATAGATATTTGGTGCTTCAAAAGTATCGGTATAAATTCTATGTAATACAATTATACAAACACATTTAGAACTTCAGTGAGATGTGCTAAGCCTGAGAGAAAATAAAAAGTGGAAAATGCAGTAAAAATGTCCTCATATTCTTTAGCTTGTATAAAGTAATGAAATAGGATGAGAAAATTTTGTACTTACATTTGCTTCAGCAGCAGGATTGACATTTCCCATTGCAAAGAAAGCACCACCAAGTATCACCATTCTCTTCACTTTGCTTGCAAAGGATGAGTCCCTTTTAATTGCCTGGTCAAGTAAAGACATACAGACACCACACTAAATCAATAAACAGCAGAACATAAAAATTGGTCAGAGTGGAAATGGTAGAACAAAGATACTGTCACTTACCAAAGCCAAATTTGTCAATGGTCCCAGTGCAAGTATGGATATCTCACCAGGATGTTCAGAAACCTTATCAACCAAAAATTCAGAAGCATTTATCCCAATTTTCTTTTCTTTTGGGGGTGCTAGAAATATGTTTCCCATTCCATCGGAACCATGAACAAAGTCAGCAATACGTGGCTTTCCTCCCTGTTACAATAATGCAGAACAATAAACACATTTCCATGAAAATCTAGCATATGAAAATAGCAAATATTCAGTAAGAAGGAAATAAGTCTTCTTTTGCTTCCAAAACAAGTGGCTAGACATGATTCTTCCATATGAAATCCAAACAGCTACATGTCCATGAAAATGTATCATAATATAGAACTATACAGTAGTAGTATTTTTAGTAGTATCCAAGAAAGCAATATATGGAAAGAAGTGAAAAACTACCTGATGACAAAGTGGTTATCCCACAGGATTTTTCCCTGACAATCACTGACAAGTAGACGTTGGACATCCATGTCATAAAAATTGATTAAAATTAAAAGATAATCATGTATGATCCTGGTTATAATATATATTTTAAGATCAATAGATCATGTATAGAAAAGGTTTATTCCATAGCCCTCTTAAGGTCCAGGTTTCTATTCTACCTGTGAATTTCTTTTACATGTATTCATATAAGGTATGGTAGTCAATTTTCCATGGGGCTACAGTTATGTTATATGAAAACAACAGTACTATTAAATAAAACAAAATAACTGCATAATTAACAGACAAAACATAGCAACATAGACTGCCACTTCATTATTGGAGCTTTGAATCAGATTTTTATGAAGTCCTGTACTATGAGACAAATCCATTATGTCGTCTCCAAAATTGTAATTATTAATTATTAAATTATATATTAAGATACATGCATTACATAAAGTATACATTCTTTAATCCTTTATACGTTGTAGATTTCTATTTTTTATTTTCCTGTACATTCATGATGAACTCCCAATACAGCTAAGCATTTCCTTGCAGATTTTTCTCTGTTTACACTCCTAATTTGGCTGTTAGACAAGTTTTATGTTACAATGATTATTAATCAAGCAAAAAGCATTTCATCAAGCTGATTGTTTAATCAAAACAATGCATTTGTAACTTAAAATCATCTCCTTGTTAGGAAGATAGACCAAACAGGTGCAATTTGTAAATGATGGAACAGAAATAACACATGGAACAAGAAAACTCTCACATTCATATGCAATGCACCAGGCATACAAGATTCCCCAATAGAAATGGTGCCAACACTTACAGTTTAATTTTGATGAATTAATTTGCAGCCTATAGGTTAAGACAAAACTTTAGGCACATGAATGAGGAATCATAAAGTGGTAAGCTTTCTGTACCTTTAGAGGCTCAAGACTGCCCTCTGCCACTGGAACATCAGGACGTCCTGCAATCTCACACTGTCCTTTTACACATTAAAAACAGTAATTAATCATGAATTTGTTCCTAAACATCAGAAAAAATTGCAGCCTGTAAGGGAAAATTGAAGAAAAAAAACATACATACCAGAAGCAAGGCATTGCGAGTAGCATCCTCTGTAGTAACATTACCAAATATTGTTGTCAAACCTAATACTTCCAAATCTGACAATTGAAAGGCCATGAATATAGCCATACTGTCATCTGCAAACCCATGAAAGTCCCATAAGTATCCACACATATACAAGAGCATGCATGCAGAGAAGTACCAACACGTATATCTGCAACTCTTGGGTGCACAATGAGCTGTTACTCGAAATGATTCCTCATCACAAGCAGAAAGAATTCTTCAAAACAAACCAAGCATTCATACTAGCAGAAAGCACTACAAACACTAAAAAGAAAGCGAACCTGAAGACGGTTTCCAATGAAAACAAGGAAAGTTAGGAAATTTAGTCTTCAAACAATTGTGAAGGAAGACGGTATATACTAACAAAAATCAAGCAAAGGGTAGGAAAGAGATGATGTGCATTAAACTAAAATATCCAATAAACCCAGAGAAAAGCAGTAGGTCAAGATCAACGATATAGAATCTTGAGCAGACTTTACCGATGCCAGGATCAGTATCAATGATGAGCTTTTCAGGCTTAGTACACAAAGAGGGCTTTCCCCCAATTTCATCGTGAGAATTCGAATTCCCAAACTTCATTATCTTCTCCGATCAAAAAAACCCACAACAAACTATGGTCTCGCAGAGGATAAGAAGCCGAGAGAGGGGGGGAGAGAGAGGAAGAGGAAGTTCTGTTGTGAAACTCTTCTCTTATTCTGTCTGGTCAGTGCTGGCAGGTATTTGGTTTTCGACGGAAGACGAATCTGAATTCTGAAGCAGGACTCTTTGGAAATGTAAGGGCCCTACCTGAATCCTAAATATTGAATTGGGTTGGCCGGGTTGGACCGGGTTGGGTTTGGATGGGTTGGATTGGTTTTATGGCTTGGTTTAGCTGTTTAGAAAAAACAGTCTGAAGTCTGAACTGTTTTAAGGCCATATAAGTGATACGTTGCATGGGTGTGGGGTAAAAGAGTAATTGTCATCAATATTTTTTTATCTTTGGAAAATTGTCTAAAACTCACCATGAGTTTTCAATATTTCTCTTAAACTCACCACAACTTTTTAAAATGTAAAATTCACCATGTCAATAAGTTTTTATTTTCCAAAACTCACATTCCGTTAGTGCACTGTTAATGCTTCTTAACAGAGGTTTCCATGTTAGTATAAATAACAACTTTCATGACCAAATTACCCTTGAATGGTGAGTTAGAGGAAAAATGATCTTTTTTAGTTTTCAATTTTTTTGTTTTTGTTTTGCATTTTTAATGTTTTTATATAATTTTCAATTTTTTTATAATTTCTGTTTTTCTTACATTTTTCTATTTTCTACAATCTATAAATTTTTTGTGTTTATTCTACAATTTTTATTTTCTGATTTTGTTTTTCAATTTCTATAGTTTCTATAATTTGAAAATATTTTTTTATTTTGTTTGCAATTTCTATAATTTTTTATATTTTTTTATTTTTTTCATAAATTTTTGAATTTTTTCCTTTTTCATGTCTAAATATTAAAATGATAATATATTAACACCCGCTAATTTATTTTGTATATATTTCATATTTTKCTATGAAGGTTAAAATGTTAATATATTAATGCCTGTTAGTCTGTTTAACGTCAAGTTAGTGACATGGTGAGTTTTAGACGTTTTGAAAAGTTGTGGTGAGTTTAAGAAAAATGCTGAAAACTCATGGTGAGTTTTAGACAATTTCCCTTTATCTTTTAATTAAAAAGACAATGTGCACATCATATCTGCCCCACAACACATCCCAACCGCGCATTGGGAATATCTCCCCATGACAAGTATGAGAGATGTTCTTGATGCAAGCTGAGATGTGCTGTGGGGTACATGCTAAATTATAGTTTTACCCTTTAAGTTGTGTTTGGTTGGAATGTGAATTTATTTGCCTTGATGCAAAATTATGGTAGTGTAAATGTTTTTTGTGCAAATTATGATTTATTTTTATTTCAAAATTTACCTTATTTTGTTTGATTGCAGTACAAATGAAATAAAATAAGACTTGAAGAAGACTAAAGTAAAACCCAAAACAAAATTAAACCAGGACTTGCATTTTTTTCATTTGCACTCTCATACATTTGTACTAATGCAAATAAAATTGCACTGCAACCAAACACATGCTTAGGCTCAATTTAGAAAATGTACAAATACAAATATGTACAGTGCAAAACCTTATATTTTATATTATTTTTTTATGTATTTGCCCTATACATATTTGTATTTGAGCTCTTTCCAGCAGAGCTTTATTTGCGGTGCATAGAAAACGCCCTTACATTAGTTATTTTAAATTCAAACAGCCAATCTTTCACAGGAATTAACCAATCAGGGGACATCAAGGCATTAACCAATTAGGGGATGGCACATATGCTAGCTTGATTGCCAAATGGGAAATTCCACCAACAAACAGAATAGACAAGTTAAATGAGTAAATGGATACCATACAAAAGCGATGTTAACTTTTTGATCTTCTAGGTCAGATTTTCATCCAATATATACTCAAATCTATATCTTCTGAAACCTTATTGTGGAATTAGGGGATGATACTTTGATTCTTAACTCACCATTTGTTTTTTATCCATTAGTTATGTATGCTTTGTTCTTTCTCAGAAATTGTTTTTGGGCTTTTTAGCTTAGTACTGTTATCAATTCTTTGTATTCATACAAGTTTGTTGATTGAATGAAATATGCTTTACTTTTGCCTCAAAAAAATTGTGAAATTTTCTTTTTTTTATTAAAATATCCCTATTTTTAATTTGGTCACTCTCTAATTGCCGGGGAAAATATATAGTTTGAATTATTATTTTTCATTTCATTTTATTCCTTTCCGTTAAATCATATATTTAAGGTATCAACTCTCACTTTCTTTCATTTAATCCTGTTTTTAAGGTTTTTCTTTTTTCTTACCAATAAATTCTACTAATTAGATCTATATTTATAAAAAAAGGTAATCCAAAATTAAAATATACATATGATTTTTCATTTAGGTGTCAAAGAAGCAATTTAACCATCTAGGTCAACCCATGATGTCATAGCCAAATAAAATTTTTAAAATAATAAAATATAAAGAAAATTAGATGCATCCCAACTGTTTTATATTAATCATATTAGAAAGGTATTCTGCATTGAAAACCATGTGTATTTGTCCTCTATTGCCTTACAATTCTTTGGTTTGATTATTGTCTATGGTTGCTCACTTGCTTGTTCTTTGTTTTAGAAGAAAAGTAAGTATGAATGAATTTTGTGTAGTGCAGTAAAATATATATTTTTCTTGGTGCAAAGCAAAACAATGATTTTTGACTCCTAAATACTCTATTATCGTCAGAAATGGTGTATTAAACAAGGCCCAAAACGGAGTATATTAGTGTTATAAAGCACACTATCCTTCTCCATATCAGTGTATATATATATATATATATATATTTTCTCTTTTTTCTCCATATCAATGTACTTGTGCCCCAACAGCCCAACACTTCTATTCTTCAAATCAATGTTTTAAAAATTGACCCAGAACTGAAACTGCTTTGACCACCGATTTTTGGGTCATTGGTTCAATAATATGGTCTAAACGATGGCTCATTATATTAAAAATAATTAAAAGAAAAAACAACCAAAAACCATCGTTCAGGTTAAACAGGTGAACAGTTTGACAACCCAAGTCAACAAGCCACTGCCAAATCAACAGTTTATGGCAAAAGAATAGTTCAAGGATAAAATGGAACCAATTACCTAGATGGTTTCTCAGCCAAATGATTCAACCATCCAGCCAAAAGAACAATTCAGGTATTTGTACTCTTTTGGATCGCAGACAATATGCACTATATCTCCAAGAGCACTCTTCCGCAACTATAATTATTCACGCAAAACAACTAGAAGCCAAACACAAGTGAATTAATACAAACCTCTCAACACAACTACTCTAGGAAAAAGGCAAAAACATTACTTCTCGTACCCCCTCTATTATTTTCGATTATGATAAGTGCATTTGTTTTTTGTTTGAAGGCTATTGGAGTTGAAGGTCAAGCCATAAATAATGCCGGACAAGTGCAACTTGAACCAGAGCCCACCTGACCCAACCCAAGTTTTTGTATGAGTTGGGCCTGGGCTACAAAATTTAGACATGACCTAAACTTGGGTTGAATACTCAAGTAGCCTGGGCCCAAGCCAACCTGAACCTTCATAAAAAAATAAATACATATGTATATTATATTTATATAAAATATCTTTTTTTTTAAATTATGTATGTATATATACAAGTATGTATTTATACATTTATAAATGAAATTTATACATATTTTCAATCAATTTTTACTCTTAAATTGGACCAAAAAGCCCAATAAAAGATGACTGTAGAAATCTATATATAAATTCTTTCAAACCTGACCAACCTGCCCAAGTCTAGCTAACCCAGCCCAATCCAACACAAGCCCAAGCCCAACCCAAATTGTCTTGGGTTAAGATCATCTGATTGGACCTGAGTTGATAAATTTCAGCCTAACCTCAAGTTGGGCCAGGCCAGAGCCCAAGGTTTGCACTTTAGTGTTGGACTTGAATTGACCTTCAACCCAACCCAAGCCACCCAAGTTGCACCCCTAAATGGGATGACGTTTTGGATTCCAAACATCAATACATTTAGGGACATCAAATGGAGGAGAGGGCAAGCTTTGGTGCCTTGGTCATCTCCAACTCCAAGCTAAAACTTGCTGTAAGCACTCCGTTGCGCATGCTCTGGATAAATGGAAATGGAATCATTCGCTATGACTTCATTCTCGTGTATGTAGACTTTTCTTTTCCACCTTCTAGCCTTTAGTCTTGAAAGTTGAAATGAAAAGTATAGTTCAATCTGCATTTACTGCTTTTCACCTAGCTAAAAACTTAATAGGCTATGTTTGATTTGAAAATAAATAAGAGAGAAAAGGGAAAAGTTCTTCATAAATTTTCACAAATTACCCTCAACTTACTACCGTTATTTTCATATTTTCTGTCAAGCCAAGCATGGCCAAAGTAAATCTCGTTGTTCAAATTTAGAAAGACAGATTGGTGGAAATCCCTTATTAGTTTTTATTTATATATATATATATATATATATATATTTTGGGGGGGGGTGGGGGTTGGTGCGGTTAGTTTCTTTTTCTTCTGTTACTGTTCTTTAAGGCTTTGAGTAATGGGTGTAAGCATTGATTGAGGTACTTTAATAGGAAAATAATGGATTCTGTTCTATCCTTTAACTAGGCCTTATCGATTTTCTTTTCTAGCTGTGGAACACGGGTTTTCTTCTGGATTTAATTGATACATACCAGCCTACATTCCCAAGTCCTTTAAAGCTCGAGCAAATAGCTCTATTGGCATACAATCAGTGTTAAGGGAATCTTTAAGGTTCAAAGTATCAATACGTATCAGCCTATATCGTGCCGGTGGCTTCCTGATATGCCCCTACAAGGGTTGTATCAGGTCAGCCATTAGTTCAGAGGGTAGTCGGGGCCTTAAACCAGCCCCTCTGAACCAATTTCAAAAAAAAAGTAAAACTAAAAAAAGGCACGGCGTATTGGCCTGTGTCAATACTTTAAACCTTGGGAATCTCAAGTTGTGCAGATTAGAATCTCTTGTCCAACAACACAGAGAGAGGGCAGTGGGGTTTTAATGGGTAAAACTAAAATTAAAATTAACTATAGTTACTTGATTAATCATAGATAATTCAAAGAAAAATCCGAATGCTATGCTCTTGCACTGATATTGATTTGGTTATCAGGTAAATCACATAGGACAGGACTGCGAAGCTATTTCGATCATCAGTGATAATCAACATTACCCTACAACACTGGAAGAAGCAGTTGGAGATGTCTTTGCAGTGACGAAAATAAAAACTGGAGATAAAAGACTACCATGAGTTCCAGCACCAGGGATGGAGACGTTGGTTTCGTTGGGAAGAAATGACAATGAAATCTGCTGTAGGGTTTGGATAAGAGCTGTTGGAAAGGAAAGATAATGAACTTTATTATGGGGTTTGGGTTTGTTACAGATAATGGCTGGGAAGGCTAACATCTCCCTTAATTACAAGTGTTCCTCTTTACTAATCTAACATGGCACATCCGCTGACTTGGACCAATGAGGATGCATACAGTATGCATTTGTCTTTCATTAAAGGCAAAGTTCTCCCAAAACTGAAACCAAATAGTTGTTATTGAATTTCTGGTTTAAAGAATTAAATTTTCATCTAGGGTTTTTTTAAGCCATGTTTTCATCTAGTTATTTAACATCATGTTCAATACATAATATCTGTACTACAAAATTTGTTTTTTGTTGTTTTGAAAACCATCATTTTAATGGTTTTAAAAAACAGAAATTCTTCTTTGAAACAAAACCAACTTATTTTTGCTTTTTAAAATAAAAAAATGCAATTCAACATGTTTTTGTTCTTTTACTGGTGTGACAATTTCAAAAACAATTGAGAACAAAAGAGAATGTATTTAGTTTAAGGGTCCATTTGATTCAGTCAGAACCGGAATAAAAATTCATCAAAATGAAAATAACAATGGTCTATTCCTCCCACCTATTTGGTTCAAATGGGAATCGGAACCAGCAAGAATGAATTCTCACTCCCAAGGGAGGGGGAGATTCGCCATTCCCTCAAATGGGGGAATGACATTCATTGCTTAATTCACCTGTGAGGAACTGTTTGTAGTTTGGTTTGGGAATGTTCATGATCTTGTGAACTCTAAATACAAATAAAAAATATGAAAGGGCATGGATCTAGGATAATTCCAGGGAAAAAAAAAAACTAGCAGCTCTCATATCAACCTTTAGAGGTCAAAAAGGTCATTTCTCTCTCCTATGTAAGAAAAGCAGTTGCAAAACCATAGGTGCCTATGTAAATGGCCCAGAACATAATGACATGAYGAATTGACCCATTCAACCTAGATGGTCGAACCACTAACTCACCGCACAGGGGGAAATAGGTCAGCCTTCGAGTCAGTTTTTAAAACACTGTCAACATCAAATACTACTGGTTGAACCAGATGGGTCGAAGCTCCAGCCATGCATCAGGGTAAACCTAATACAGTTTTAGACCTCCAGTAACCATTCCTTTAACCTTCTATTTGTCCCCCAAGGGAGGGCAGGGCATCAAAACTGCATTTTATTTAGGTTTCAATTGCCAAAACGAAGCATTGGTGAGACAGAGATACAAAATTTACTTGTGCATTTTTTCTTCTTTCATATTTTCTACCAAAATTTCATGAACATCCAGTTTGGTGACAGAAATTTAAACCCCCTTTCATCTTGCCATACAAGTTTAACTGCACAAAAGAGTAACATTAACAGATCAATCCTTGCAATATCTGCATGCAAATATATAATGCGCATTAATGACACCTGTACATGCAACAAAAAGATATGAAAGAAAGCTGATAAAAGAAAGACAAACAAGAGAGAACAAATGCCTACGTGCAAAGACATGTAAATATATAGATGCCATTTGATTGCCAAGAGAATACAAGAAAGTGAAAGGAACTAAAAAAATGAAAAGAGAAACTTAAAAAGAAAATCTCTAATTTTAAAGACGTTTTATTGGCAAGAAAAATCAAGGAAAATTAAAAATAAATAAATAAAAGTAGTGGCAAGTGGACCCCATTCTACCGCTCAATTTTCTTGCATTTTTCGAAAAGTTTTGCCAGGGAAAAAAATAAACATTAGTCCACTGTAGGAAGAAAAGCAAGGATGATCAAGAAAGGAAAAAAAAAATAACTATCATTCAAAAGAAATTTTGGAAGAACAAAATACTCCTGTGGATCATACCCAATTTCTTAGGCCAATAAACCTTTGTTTTAGGTTTTTCTTTAAAATTTTTTAGAATTTTCTCACCTTCTGGACAGCCAAAAAAAGACAGGGAAATCCATAAGCGTGCAGAATTCTAATGCACATCCAATGACTGATACAATGCATAATGAAGGATCACCACCTGGGCGTACCATTGATGTAAAGCAGACGACATGGGCCAGCTGGGAGCAACAGAGTCTGCTCCCAATAAGTCTAGATTCAGAATAGAACAAAAATTAAAAAAAAAAGCATAGGCATAGAATAGAAAGTTGGGGGCAGGCCAAATAGGAAGTGAAAATGAGTTGGGAGCTCACACACTTTAACAGCAGATATGGCCATTGTTAGAGTGGAATGGCTAGAGAGGATTCATGTAACTGACACCTTATAGTTGGAATGAGGTTTGTTAAGTTGTAGGGTAAATTATAGATAGGTACCCTGTATTTTGGGGGTAGTGACAGATAGGTATCTTGAACTTTCAATTGCAACACTTGAGTACCCTTAACTCTCAAAAATAGACACTTAGGTCCATTCGTTAGTATTCTGTCAGTTAAACATTACATAATGCCAAAAATACCCTTCTCATGTATTTCTGAGATCATTCTCAGGTAAGTGAGCATCTCCCCACAATGAACGTTCTCACATGGACAGCAAATAACATTCGTTAGTATTCTGTAGAATGATCTAAAAAATACACAAGATGGGTATTTTTGACATTATGTAATATTTAACTGACAGAATACTAACGGATGGACCCAAGTGTCTATTTTTGAAAGTTCAGGGTACTCAAGTGTTGCATTTGAAAGTTCAGGGTACCTATCTGTCACTACCCCCAAAGTACAGGGTACCTATCTGTAATTTACCCTAAGTTGTATTAAACATAACAATGATAATGTAATGACAAGTCCCAGAGCAGATAGTCAAAATTTGGAATACGCTGAAGTTTTTTTTTCTTTTTCTTTTTCTTGGAGGGGGGGCTCATGGATGAAGATTGATATTGATAAAAAAATACAAATTGGATGATTACAAACCATATGTATTAATCTTTAACTATCATCGAGGAGAAAAATGCATCCATGACCAGTTAATCCCCGCTTTATGACCAAGTTTACAAGCCACACATACTAGGCATTCAGCCTTCCATTAAGGAGCCTGTCAGTAGATGGATACGGATTAACATAACAAACAATGCTGGATGTAATTTTGGCTATCACATGGAATTCCTTCAAATAACTCTGGATCAAACCTATTATTAGGCTATGGTAGGACTAGAGAAGTTGGAGGACCATTTCCTGGTAACCTTTTTGAGGAAACCTTTTTTAAGGACTGGAGGACTGGAGGAGTTCATCCTTTCTGATCCATCACCACAAAAATTTAACTTCATGAGGATGAAACCAGTACTGCTGGTATTGTTTTAAAGAATCAATGGAGTAACCTTTCTTCAAAAGATTTCTTCAACCAGACAACCAGTGAGCATACACAAGGACACCATGCACTTGCATAATTTTATGTGCAAGAACCAAGAATTTTGAACAAATAATTATCAAAAGAAAAAAAAAAAAGAATTGTGAACAAACCTTCAGTCAAAAAAACACCTTGCATGCAGAACCTCCAACAAAAGACTTGGTAGATTCACAACACTTCACTTGTCTTCGGGGAGCCAATTGCAGGTGCCTTGGCTGTATGACCTTTCACATTTCCAGCAGCTTGTCCAGCAGGGGTCTTCATATTTGCCACCTCAGATCCTACAACGGATTTCTTGATCTGCTAAAACAGAAAGTAATGAAATAACATATAAACATTCAAGAATGCATCCAAAACATGGATATGGATTTGAAATCTAAGAATGATATTAATATGGCTGTAGCCCTATAAAATGGGTACAGTACAGCATATCACCTTTCTTACTTTGATTAAATAAGAGAAGCATACAACATACAATACAGGAGATGACAGTAGTGTACAAAAGATGAGAACATTTCTTGTTTGAATTTGAAATAGCTCCTTTTCTGCCATGCAAATTGTAGAGGTGAAAATCAAGTTTGTTAACTACAAATATCATACTTGAATGGGTCATGGTGTAAAAATTGATACCTAAAAGACATGTTTAACACCTTGATGGGCCAATCAAGAACATCTGCTAAGATTAGAGATAGGATTAGCTGAACGCTTTAGCTGTTCAGCAGGCTGTGGAACCAATAATAACACTCCACACCAGTCTTAAAAATACATGGGGCCCACAATCATTCAACCTCTCAGTGTGGGCCCCATGTATTTTATCACTGGTGTGTAGCTCTATCATTGGTTCCACAGCCTGCTAAGCTAAAGCGTTCAGCTAACCCGAGAGAATGATTCAAGGATATGGACAATTCAAGAACTGATATAAGAATCGGATTGTCAGAAGCGTCATTTCAGGTACAAGGCAAGATATTTGGTGTACTTATTAAGTGTGCAAATGGATAGTTATCCAGAAAAGGATGCTTGTTTTGTATACACTAACCACATTGAAAGAACAATGAGAAATCTTCTAACAACCATGCCAGGTTCACTCTGTCTAGACTCTAGAGACCGACATGGTGTACTAATATAGCAACTTAACGAGTAGTTCTCTGAAGCATCATGGGTTCTGGGGCGTTTTAAACAAAAGCTGGGAATAAAAATTGTAACACACATTCACTTTAATTTATAGCATAGATTGAATTTGCAATACAATTGTTTGAAGATAGTTATGAATCATAGAAATTATAGAATTTAAACCAAGAAAAACTATTATCACAAAGAATTTTAAGTTAAAACCTACCACTGCAAGACGCTCCCTGTGAATATCATTTGTATACTGCAATTGTCCAAAGAAAACAAGAAAAAGAAAGTAATTAGAAGGCAAGTGTTTATCCCAAAGAAAGAAAGACACACTTGTAATCATTCCAATATTCCTCCCATAATACTGAAAATTGCTACCTGTTTCTTGTAGATCTTGATCTCATCCCCACCAAACCCAGGAAGGGTCAAATTCCAATTTTTTTCTGTATTGAAATAAAGGAAAATCATAAACATGGGTGAACCATGTCATCACAAACCAAACCTGAAAGCAAAGGAAGAAACACAGAGGATCAAAGATAACCTAGATGAAGAATTATGTCCTTAGCTTCCAATGTGGTTGATTTCCGGTGCTTGGCCAATGAGCAAGCACATGTTGCTATCTGCTCAAGAAAGATGAGAATGAAAATTAAATGACTGACCTCTATAATCATAAAGAAATGTGCATGAGAACAATATCTTTTTAGTAAATATCAGTTATCTAGGACAAAAACATAAATACTGCACAAACTACTGATGATAAAGGATGGGCTATGAGCTTATGGAAGAAAGGGATCTCATGAAGAAAGCATTTTTTGGGTAGTGATCTTTTTTATTTCCCTTTAAGAAAGGACTTAGAAAGAGAGAACCCCAATCCCCCTTCTCTTTCACTCTAATAGCAGATTTGCTAAGCCAGATGATCTCAAGGGGCAATTGATTTGAACTAGTAAGGGCTTGGAGGGTGGGGAGGGAGGAAAGAAACTGGGAACAAGGAGAACAAAACTTTCAACTCTTGATTAAGCTCTTTGAAAAACATAAAAGAGAGCCCTAGGGAGATAAGCCAGGGTTTTAATGTCCATTGAAATATTTAGGTCTTCCATTGAGAGAAAACCCTAGGGCTAACAATTTTGGAACCTAATAAGCAGATAGGGACATAGGGTCATTAAGAAACTATCCAACTGGAAAAGGAAATACATTTCTCTAGAGGGCAGAATCACCCTTATCAAGTCTATGATGGCAAAAACCAAAAGAAAAAGTCTACCATCACCAATCTTCCCATTTACTTCTTGTCAGTTTCTAGGATCCCAATGTTGGTAGTCAAGAGGTCAGAGAAATTGATGAGAGACTTCCTTGGGAACCTAGGAACTCTAAGAGAGATCATAGAGGAATATGGTGTGCAAAAGCAAGAGAAGAGGGGCTCCAGATTGAAAGATTGATACAAAGAAATTCTGCTCTCCTTAGCAAATGGCTTTGGAGATTCCCTCTTGAGCAGGACAATCTGTGGCACATTTTTTTAAGACAAATACAAGTTAAGAATGAAACTGGTGGCCAACAATTGCTCCTTGATCACAGATTGGGTGCTATCTCATTCTGAGTTTAAAGATATGAACAAAGAAGCATAAGGAATAAATTTGTATTCTTCTTAGGGAGGGGACTCTGGGGTTGATATCAATTATGTATTGCTTTACTTCATTAATCCAAGATTTTTGTATTCCAAAATCCCATCATCAACTCAACATAACATTTACATTTTTATTCTAATGAAGTTTCTTACTGTTTATCAAACAAAGAAAAATGTTTTATCTTGTATAAAAACCTCTTAACATCCACAAGTTAACCAGCACCCATGTGTCACTTGGTACAACCTGCTCCTGATCGAAAGGGGCCTATGATGAATTCTACCCTCTGCAACAGTAAATGGGACATGTAATTAAAGTTTCATAAAGCTTCACATCATTAATAAAGTTTATTGTTATTGATTAAAAAAAAAAATAGTAAATGGGACATGGATTCCACCCTCTGCAAGGGAACATCTATTTAAAATGGTCAATCTATAAATGAGGAAATCAGTCCTCCAAATCTAATCATCAAAGCCACATGAAGAATGGATCTGTGTACATTACGAATGTTTAGTGATTAAAAATAAACAAATGAGATTGTATCAATGAAGACCCATAGACAAAATTTAGGAACCGAATATGTCAATTATGATTCTGTGGGTTTGTCCTGATTCATAATTGGGATGGGACCAGTCCCCTCTGTTCCAAACCAATTATATAGTTAATAATATATAAAGGATTCCTGCTTTTCTTGTAATTTTTGTTACATTTGTCTAAAAGGGTAAATTTCATAGACAGTATATAAGATTATTTCGGTTAAAAACACTTGTTTTATCAACACTTAAACAGTTTACTAATTACTGTCATTTTTATTAAGGTTATATTATCAAAACTGAAGCTTTAAGTTGTTATTATCATAGGTAATTTTAGATATCAAGTACAATCAGGTTTAATCGGATCAGACCAATTAATAATCGGTATGGTTCTGGGTCAATCTTACAGAACCAATTAATAATCAGTTCAGAATTGGTACACCCTGCCACAAACCAGACCCAACCAATCAATAGCCATAGTTTTCAAGGCGCCAAGGCGAGGCTAGGTGACTGTGGGGCGCCTAGTCGCCTAGTTGCCTAGGCGGGCGCCTAAGCGATGGATTTTTTATGTTAAAAACATAGATCCTAGGGTAGTTCCCTAGGTACCATAACCATATTTCTTTAATAATTATTCATGAGTTTCATAAGAAAAGTATAAATTTCATATTAAAGTATAGAAAATCAACATATTCATGAGAAGAAAAGGAAGAAGGAAAATAAAATTCAAAAAATATAGGGGCTGAACC